CATCATCCAAATCAAACCACATAGCAAACCGGTAGTTTAGAGTGTGAGAAGAATGATTTGAGGATATGGATATAGGGAGTCTTGAAAAAATTAAGAGAAATTATTCTACTTTAACAATACTCTAACAAGTCTGTTGCAAATGACCTCTTTAATGTGCTGAAGAGCAAAGACATCTCTTTGAAGACTAAGGTGCACCCAACCCAAGCCATGGTATTTTTCAGTCACCTCATATACACGTGAAAGCTGGACAGTGAATAAGGAACACCAAAGAAGAGTTGATGCTTTTGAGTTGTGTTGACAAAGAATACTGGAAGTACCATGGACTGCCAGAAGAACTAACAAATCTGTCCTGGAAGAAGTGCAGCCAGAATACTCTTTGGAATTGAGAATGGCCAGACTTCATCTCACTTACTTTGGTCATGCTTTCGGAAGGGACCACCCCTGGAAAAGGATATCATGCTTGGTAAGGTGGTGGGTCAGTGAAAAAGGGGAGGGTCCTCAATGAGATGGATCGACACAGTGGCTGAAACTATGGCCTCAGGTACAGCAAGGATTGTGAGGCTGGTGTAGGACCAGGCAGTGTTTCATTCTGTTGTACATAGGGTCCCTATGAGTTGGAGCCCACTCAATGGCACCTAGCAACATAACAACAAAAATAATAAGGAGCTCTGGTGGTGCAGTGATTAAGTTCTCAGCTGCCAACCAAAAGGCTGGCAGTTTGAACCCACCAGTGCTCCATGGGAGAAAGATGTGACAAATCTGCTCTGGGAAAGATTAGAGCCTTGGAAACCCTACAGGACAGTTCTACGCTGTCATATCAGGTCACTATGGATCAGAATCCACTCCACAACAATGTTTTTTGTTTGTTGGTTGGTTGGTTCATTTTGGTACACTAATAATATATCACTACCTGAAAAGAGTAATTCATCCTTTAAAAAAGATATAGGAAATTGCATACATGAATATTACTCAATAGAAATTACCAAATCATTAAATAAATTTAAAATATATATTAAACAAAACAACTCCACCACCAAATTCATTAAGAACAAACAATTTCCCCCTAAAACTAGTTCCTCTATTTAGCATCTCTATTTCTGTGAAAACTCCTATGTTCCTATCTACAGAAATTAGCACCTATGGTAAGCACTAAAATTGCACCCAGCTTCAAACATCTGACACCCATTACCATAACATCAAGTCAAAAATACCAGTAAAGCTTGTTAATTGCATACCTAGCACATCATGTACTACATTCTACTGATGATGTTCTCAAAGTTATTATTATTATTATTTTAAGTTCTTAGTACACTCAGCAGAGCAAGATCTCACAATCTGTCTTGATCAATTGTTGTTATATTTGATCCATTGTTTTGTATTTGAGATCCTTGGAGGCTTTCAAATGAAAGTATTAATTTTAACTTGCTAAATGATTTCTCAGGAGCTCTGGTAGCGTAGTGCCTAAGGCACTTGACTGCTAAGCAGAAGGCTGGTGGTTCAAACCCACCAGCCACTCCTTGGAAGGAAGATGGGACAATCTACTTTCGTAGTGATACTGCCTAGGAAACCCAAGGAGGGGCCGTTATGAGTCGGGTCCGACTCAACGGCACATAACAACAACAACAAGAACAAACGATTTCTCACAGTTGGCTATGAAAATTGCCATGGTTAACAGCAATTGCTCAGTGGCACCTCCCTTCAAGTGGTGCCCAGGACATCTGCCATATGTTACACCTTAGTTCCTAAACTCTTACCTTGGTAACCAAAACATAACTTGCAAATTTAATATCCACTCCTCTCCAATATAATGACTACTCCTCTTCAATCTAAACAATTTTCCTAACGGGGCCAGTCAGTCTGTGACCCTTTCTCTAAAATGGCTAACTTTGACCTTGCATCTTTTTATCACTTAGTTTCCAGCTCAAGAACTACTTGAAAAAGACAATAATATATTCCTCAGCACTATAAGAAAATTGTAGGGACTAAATTTTTATATGCACTACTGTTGTGTGCAATGAAGCTTAGTGGGGCAATGCATTCATATATGTGCATTATATTTCATTTGTTTTGCTATTTCTGGTGGATATAAAATTTGTGTGCAATGTTGTTTTTCAGACATCTTAGTAACATCCATGGAATTCAATATGGCATAATAGACTTAGTAACTATTTAGTAAATACACACTTACTTCATAACTTTTGTTAAAAATATTGATACACTTTTTATTTTATATTTTTTATATATTTAGCTTAATACTAAGGAAATTCAAACTAGAGTGATATTTCAAAGCCACCACCTATATGCTTGATTATCTTCATCAGAAATCATATATTCTATTGTTTAATAATCCAATGTCTGTAACTAGCAATTCTATGGGAAATTATATACTTTCATTAATCTATCTAACACAAATTAATTTTTTTTCATCTTAAATATGTACTATGTCTTAAATTCATATAATTGCATTTAGGTTTTGTGCTGAAGAAAACTTGCCCACAACTATTTACTATTTAAGAGGAATGAAAGGACACTTTAGACTTCTAAAGTCTTCTGACTGAGCTTTGGAAACTAATCAGCCCATGTAGTGGTTATGCTTTCATTTATTCTCTTTTTCTCGATACAGATTGAGTAATAAGGTCTTTGCTTGAATCTAATACCTAAAAGATATTAGTTATGTCTGATTGCCTGACTTATGAAATTCAAATGCAATTATCTATAGATATTTACTAAAATTTTGAAGAAAGAAGACCATCTTATACCAAATGAGTGGCTCTGAAACAGGGATATAAATAGGATTCCAATTTTAGAAATGACAAATTTGATTGGCTTATGTAGTTAGTTCAATATTACTCAGTATAAGCCACTTGAGATTTGAGGTGAGTTTTGAGATTTCATATTTTTGTATCTATGCAAACATAGATACCAAAGAAGAGAATAATATAATTATAAGAATCATGGAAACAGGGTAAAACAAAAGGAACATTATAACAGTAGAGGTGAAATTAGTATATAAGTATACATATTGTCCTCCACTTCCATTAGATATTGGTCAAAAATTTGATTTTAATTTTCTATCAGCTCCAGCAGGGAATTTATGTAAACTCAATTACAAAGTTCATGGAGTCCGTAGACTAAGGATAATTACTTTCCTAAGACACAGTAAAGGAGATACTGGGTGATCTTTATAATACACATAATAATTATCTTTTCTTCCCTTTTTTCTTTCTGTGTTCCTCAAGTCAAAGATAAATTGGAAGCACAGTTGCATAAAAGCTAGTCCACGAAATTCAAGTTAATGCAGTTCAAAAGGGGCAGATTTCTGATTGTCGTTCTCTAAAGGAAAAAAAAAAAATTACAGTATCTAGAGAAAAGGATGAATTGTTTGTCTCTTAATAGTCCCCCATAAAGATTATTACTTCAAATTCTATTAATGATTACTAACAAAAGAGTTTAAGGTTTTATTTTCTACTAAGAATCTAGAGTGTAGATACTGTGTGTTGTCAATAGTGTCACATCTGTATGCTTTGACAGTCAGTTGTACTTAGGGAATTCACTAATTGGCCTACCTCCCAGTTAATATTAATTGATACCCCTCATTATTATTGGAAAATAGGACATTAAGAATGCTTGTATAATTATATCTGTGAAAGCTAGAATGAACCAGAAGCTTTCAAGGGCAGAAAAACTGTACTTTAGAATAACAGACTAAACCAAGCTCAAAATAAGACTTAGAAAAGGAAAGAAATTTTGGTGGAATTTTGAAACAGCATAGGATAGCATATGGATAAAGCATTCCTGGAAAATCGTATTTGCTTTCAGAGAAGAAGAGATAGGGAATTTCATAATTTCTCTGAATGTGAAGAAAATATACAGTAATTCAAATAGGACTAAAAAAAAAGTTGTAATATAGATTTTTAACTTTGAGGAAAAAAGATTTTACTTATAGCGAGTCCAGAACTGTAACTTAGACTGTCAAATGCTGAAATGGAAAACTAATCAATAAGATAACTCAAGAAACTTATTATCCAAATACTGACAGTTTTGAATGTGAATTATTAATATACTCCTAACAAGAATGCTGTGACAATAAGTGGTGAACCCAGGCTAACTGGGGAAAATTAGGATGCATGATTAGCCCACCTACTACAAGCTCAGATCTCGACTGTGGTGTCTCTTCTAAGTATAAAAATTGTCTTCTTAACTGTGAGTCACTAATATTCAATGGAAGTGGACAATCTATTTCCATAAAGAAAAGTGACAAACATGCCTCCTAGTGATAGAAAGACAAATTTATTGCCACTGTCTTACCTTACCTGAGCTATTTTCGTTGCAATATGAATTCGTTCATCTTTCTCACAATGCTTTGTTTTTTGTAATGTTTGCCAAATTATGTTCCTAAGTCCATCCTGTTCCTCATCTCCTTGGAGTTCCCAGGACATTCTCACCAGGTTATACACTAATCCATAGTATCCAGTCCAGATCAGTTGATTACCTATTTAAAAAGAAGTTTTCTTTGTGAAGACACGATTTTATTCACCTTGTTAATGAATGCTTGTTTGAAAAAGAAGAAAATTCATTGTTCAGAAATTCATAATAATATTCTATAATCTGGAAATTCTGATATTTAGAAATTTCTGACACTGCACTGCTTTTACTCCTTTAATTTTAGAATATCATTTTAATATTTCTAACCATATGAAAATGAACTGCAGTAATAAAAATTTAAAAGTTAAACAGGTAGAGTGTAGACTACACACTATAAAAAAATCCTTGAAGTACAGAATTTTTTTGAGGCAACATGAAAACTGAGACCACTATGGTGAATTTTTATAATAAATCAGAGAAATAGGAAAAATAAATTTCTGTTGTAAATTTATCAAACCTTATGGAACATGGGTTTGGAACAAATGAGAAAACTTTGAAAATAAGATGAAAAGACAAAAATTACTGATATAATTGTAGCCTAAATAATTAAAAATAATAATAATAGAGACATAAATTAATCAGAAATAGAAAATCATGAATCCAATGTAGATAAAGAAATTGAAGACAACTCTTCTAAAACATATATACCAAATTACAATTTACAGAAATACTGTAAATATATAATGTAGATATTAAGACATTATATACACATACATATATATATATACACATATATATATAATATACATATGTTTAGCTAAATATTTATATAAAGTATATTTATAAATAATGAGCTTGGTGGCACAGTGCCTGAGGCATTTGACTGCTAACCAGAAGGGTGGTGGTTCAAACTGACTAGCTGCTCCATGGAAGGAAGATGGGGCAACTAAACATATATAAATATATTTTGTATGAATATGTTGTTGTTAGGTGCCCTCAAGTTGGCTCTGACTGATAACAACCCAATGTACAACAGAATGAAACACTGTCCAGCCTTTTACCAGCCTCACAATCTTTGCTGAGCTCATCATTGCAGCCACTGTATTAATCCATCTAGTTGAGGGTCTTTCCCTTTTTCGCTGATCCTCCACTTTACCAAGTATGATATCCTTCTGCAGGGAATGATCCCTTCCGACAACATGACCAAAGTAGAAGAGATGAAGTCTGGCAACTCTAACTTGCAAGGAGCATTCTGGATGCACTTCTTCCATGACAGATCTGTTCTTTCTTCTGGCAGTCCATAGTACTTTCAGTATTCTTTGCCAATATCACAACTCAAAAGCATGAACTTTTCTTCAGTCTTCTTGTTCATTGTCCAGCTTTCACATGCATATGATGCTATTGAAGATGCCATAGCTTGGGTCAGGCACACCTTAGTCTTCAAAGAGACATCTTTGCTATTCAGCACCTTAAAGAGATCTTTTGCAGCATATTTTCCCAGTGCAATATAACATCTGATTTCTTGATTGCTGCTTCTATGGGTGTCTACTGTGGAACAAAGTATTATGACATCTTTGACAACTTCAATCTTTTCTCCATTTTTCGTGATGCTGTTTATTGGTCCAGTTGTGTGGATTTTTATTTTCTTTATGTTGAAGTGTAATCTATACTACATACTGCAGTCTTTGTTCTTCATCAGTAAGTGCTTCAACTCATCTTCACTTTCAGCAAAGTTGTGTTGTCTGCATATCGTAAGTTGTTAATGAGTCTTCCTCCAAACCTGATGCCGCGTTCTTCTCCATATAGTTCAGCTTCTCGGATTATTCTCTTAGCATACAGATTGAATAAGTATGGTAGAAGGATACAACCCTGATGTACTCCTTTCCTGATTTTAAGCAATGTGGAATTGTTTTATCTTCAGCTTCAACTTGAACTTGCATATGAGCAATTGATGGTGTGTTCCACAGTCAGATCCTGGCCTTGTTTTGGCTGAAGATATTGAGCTTCTCCATCTCCTCTTTCTACAGATGCTTTTGCTGATCCCTGTCTTTTCCATCTGGTGAGGTCTATGTGTATATCCATTGTTTATGTTGTTGAAAAAAAGTTCTTGCAATGAATAAGTCATTGGTTTTGCCAAATTCTATCATACAATCACCAGCATCAATTGTATCACTAAGGCCATGTTTTCCATCTACCAGTGATTCTTCTTTGTTTCCAACTTTTGCATTCCAATCACCAGTAATAATCAATACATCTTGATTGCATGTTTGGTCAATTTCAGACTGCAGAAGTTGGTAGAAATCTTCAATTTCTTCACCTTTGGCTTGGATGTTTGGTGCATAAATAGTATAACTTGGTTTCCTTCTAGGTGCATGGATATTATCCTATCACTGACAGTATTATACTTCAGGATATATCTTAAAACATTCTTATTGACAGTGAATGCCACACCATTCCTCTTCAATTTCTCATTCCCGGCATAGGAGATCATATGGTTGTTTGATTCAGAATGGCCAAAACCAGTCCACTTCAGCTCACTAATGCCTAGGATGTTGATTTTTTTTTTTAACTGTGATTTTTCAGTGAAAGTTTACAGAGCAAATTCACTTTCCATACAGCAGTTCACATACACTTTGCCTCATGACATTGACTACAATTTACAATGCAACAGCTCCCCTCCCACACTTCCTCCCCATATTACCTCTTTCCTTTGTCCTTCCCTCCACACACACTTGCTCCCTGAGCTGTCTCCCTGTACATACACAGCCCTTCTATTCTCCCATGATTGTTCTTTCCAAAGAATTATCTACCTAGTGTAAATATTCACCCCATATGCCTGTCTTTTGTTTGGCTGGAAGCCATGGGAATGGGTTCAATTCTGGAACTGAAGGGCAGCTAGGGGCCATATCTTAGGGGTTCCATCAGGTTCTATCAGACTGGAAAACCTGGTTCCTTTTTTTTTTTTTTCCAAATGATTTTGAGTTTTGTTCCACATTGTTCTCCCACATTATCCAGGATCTCTTACATAGATCTCCCTCCGAGTAGTTGACAATGGTAGCCAGGCACCATCTATTTCTTCTGGTTACATAATCATACAGGATGAGCATCTCATAGTGTACTAGTTATTTAAACTAATTGTTTCCATGTATCTTTGGTTTTCTTCATTCTTCTTTGCTGTAGATGAGGAGAGACCCATCATTGCATGTAGATGGCTGCTTGTAAGCTTTTAAGATCCCAGTCACTACTCACCAAAGTAGGATGTGGAATAATGTTTTGTGTAGTATCTTATGCCAATTGAGCTTGATGTCCCCTGTGACTATGGTCCTGAATCCACAGGTTCAAATACTCACTCCCTCTGGGTATGTAATTGGCTGGGGCCAAGAGGTGACTACAACCTTGTACCTTGTCAGCTCTACTACATACCTGGAAATTCTTACAGAACATAGCAATACTCTTGTAGAAACATTGTCTGCCAACCCTATACATGGTCTTGGGCACAGTCCCCCCTGCATAGACATACCTAATAGTTCAGCCGGTCCAACAATCTATCCACCTGTATATCCACGTTTGCCTTCACTGACAATGAAGTACTGTGTGTGCAAAGGGTTAGGATATCTATTTTTAGGTGTTCCATTTCATTTTTGACAACTTCCAATTTTCCTACATTCATACTTCATACATTTCATGTACTGATCATTAATGGATGTTTGCAGCTGTTTCTTCCCATTTTTAAGTAGTCTTACATCAGCACATGGAGGTCCAAAAAGCTATACTCCATCCACATCATTAAGGTTGACAACACTTTGAGGAGGCTGCTCTTCCCGTTCATATTTTGAGTGTCTTCTAACCTGAGGGCTCATCTTCTGGTGGTAGATCAGACAATGTTTCAGGAGTTTCATCAAGTTTTCCAGTAATATACAAGACAGTGTTTCACTGCTATTCATAAGATTTTCACTGGACAAATCTTTGAAAAGTAGATGGCCCTTTGCTTATTCTCAGTTTTTCTTAGTCTGGAAGTTCCACTGAAACCTGTCCACCCTAGGTGACCTTGCTGGTATTTGAAATACCTATGGCATAGCCTCCAGTCTCACAGCAACATGCAAGCCACCACAGTATGACAAACTGGCAGAGAGGTGGTTGATGTATTAATATATCATGTGTCAGTATTTATATTATATACTTATATTTCTATGAATTGCAACTTTATATTTATATTTTAAAATAAGCATCAGATAAAAAATATTTACAGAAAAGTTATGTCTCTCTTTACTCTTTAGTTTTAATTTTTCCTTACCTAAAAAACACAAACTCACTGCCATTGAGTTGTATCCAACTCATAGCAACCCCTCCTTGGGTTTTTGAGGAGGTATCTCTACAGAAGTAGATTGCCCAATCTTCCTTCTGAGGAGTGGCTGATGGGTTTGAACCACCAGCCTTCTGATTAGGAGTTAAATGCCATAGACACTACACCACCAGAGCTCTTAGTTATGGTGTGTTGCTATGCAGTAATGCTCAAGAAGAAAGAATTTTGGTTTAGGAAGAGATTGGAAAGCATAAATTTTGAGAATAAAACAATATAGACTGTAGAGAGGATAAGAATTAGGTTAGCCAAAAAGAAAAAAATATGAGTAAGTGAGAAGCAGGTAGGAAAATCAAGAAGGGAGAAGAGGTTCGAAAATTGAGATGAAAAGCTTTTAAAGCCAATTAAATTCTGTATTTTACCCAAAATCTTGGTGATAGTTACAGTGATATTGGATATCACCAACATCCTCCTCAAACCTCTTGAATAAAGATAGCAACACATCCTGAAAAGTCACAGTCCTCAACTCCTGTAATCCAGTCTGTTGGTTTTTCTCATAACAAAGGATGAAATAATAATTATTATTATTATAAAGAGCATATCTGGGTGAACCTACTTCTAGTCCTCAGTACAGCCCTGCTAAGAAGATATTATTCTACATAGAATAATAGATGGGAACATCAATTGTGAGCTTCAACTTGGTTAGAAACTACATTGGCATCATATAGCTGATGAGTGATAGAGCCAGATGAATGTTGGTCTAATATTTTCTTATGCAACATAGACTGTCCAATTCTAGCACACACTTTTTTTTTTTTCCAATCCTT